CATCCTCCTTCAGCTACGTTTGCCACTCAAACATCCAAAAGTGCCACACTTTCGCCATTCTCAGAGCCAATTCTCTCTCCAATCCTGGTCTCGACCCCTTTGAGTTTGTTCAACAAGGTCAGTTACTGTTAATCCCAATTGACTGCAGATGCAATGGAAGGATATTCGAGGCCAATCTCATCAAGACTTGCGTTAAAGGCGACACCTTTCGCTCTGTCTCTGAATCTCTGCAAGGCTTGACCACCTGCCTGTAAGCCAAAACTAACTTGAGAAATGTTCTTATTACATTACCTAAGAGTTTTTTTTTTTTTTGTTCAGCGATTGAGTTGATTACACTGCAGATCTATAAGAGAGAAGAATCCACAAGTTTCCGAAGATGAACTCGACGAGAACGTTAAGTTGCGTTTGGCGATCAGGTGTTCTTGTCCGGAAGAAGGCGTTTCAAACGCAAGTCTCCTCGTTACATATCCCGTGAGCGACCGCGACAGCGTTTCCAGCCTGGCGGTTAAATTCAACACAACAGAGGATGCTATTCTCTCTGCAAACAACAAATCTGGTGGAGTGATTCCACTCACGCCTGCTCTCATCCCTCTTGACCACAAACCGGTTCTTAATTCGTTGCCTAAGCCGGGAAACACCACGGTCGATAATAGCCAGAAGAAGAAACCATCCAAGAAAAAACGGTCAAAGATGAAGAAGCTCATGATCGCTCTGAGCAGCGCGGTTGCTGGAGTCTGCGGTCTGATCACTGTCATGGTGTTCGGTTACTTACACTGGAAGAAAGAGACGCGGTTGCAAACGCAAAACTGGATTAGCAACAAAGATCCCGAGACGCGGCAGCTGAACCTGAGCATCCGAACCACTAGTGACAAGAAAATATCGTTTGAAGGGTCACAGGACGGTTCCATATTGGATTCTCAGAACACAGTCGGCACCACAACGCCGCGTAAACCCGTTCTGGAGATTTATGCGTTTGAGGAGTTAGAGAAAGCCACTGAAAATTTCAGCTCAAGCAATCACATCAAAGGTTCGGTTTATTTCGGTTCGCTCAAAGGCAAAGACTTGGCAATAAAGCAAGTGAGTGCAGCTGCAATGAGAAGATTCGATTTCGGGATTCTCAACGATCAATCACACTACTATAACCACAACCTGATTAGGGTTCTTGGGACATGTTTCAGAGAAACAGATCAGGGCTCTTATCTGGTGTTCGAGTATGCGAAGAATGGGTCTCTTTGGGACTGGCTTCAGAACAAACTGGCCATCAAGAATCAGTTCATCGAGTCTTGTTACTGTTTCTTGGCATGGAAACAGAGGATCAAGATCTGTCATGATGTCGCCATCGCGTTAAAGTATATGCATCGGATAAACTACGTTCACGGCAACATCAAGAGCAGAAACATCTTCTTGAACGAAGACCTCAGAGGTAAAGTCGGAAACTTTGGGATGTCAAAGTGCGTAAGGGATGAAATAGCGAGCGAGGAGAACATTCTAGAAGGTTCTACGTCTCCAGCTACTGACGTTTTCGCTTACGGGATTATCGTGATGGAGGTTTTGTCAGGACGAACCCCAGAGACGTTGCTTGGATCACAAGAAGAAGAGACATCGCTTGGGACTAAAGAAACTTGTGTTTCCGGGTGGAAAAGAATGAGAATGGTTCTCGAGGAGAAGGAAAGGCTGAAGGAAGTGATGGATAGCAGATTGGGAGAGAGCTATTCAGTTGATTCCGCGTTTGAAATAGCAAGGATTGCTAGAGACTGTACAGCAGAAGAACCCGAGTTAAGGCCGAGTGCGGCTGAGATTGCAGAGAGGGTTTCAAGATTGGTG